TTTACTATCTGTATTTCAGAGCGCATGTTGTAAAGTTGTGTAATAAATACTATTATGTATTTACTAATGATGTATTTACTATCTGTATTTCAGAGCATATGTTGTAAAGTTGTGTAATAAATACAATTATGTATTTACTATCTGTATTTCAGAGCGCATGTTGTAAAGTTGTGTAATAAATACTAAGATGAACGTTAAACTTCTCACAGCTGGGCTTCTAATCCTAGCAATTAATACAGGTTTGTTAATTCTTTATAGTTTTTACTTTTACCACCTTTTGACCAACATTACCGACCTATTATTCCCCAACAGAGGGACGTTTTAAGTTACTTTACGTCCTTTGGGACAATTATGAATAATATACACCCACTCTGCGCAATTTTCATCAGTAAAGACGATTAAATTGTGTAAAACTACTTTTTCTGGAAATTAAAATTGTTACTTAACCACAAATTCGCTCGACCAATTTCGTCTACAAAACATCCAGAGCGTTCTTTGGAACCCTTGGTAAGGTAAAATTCCCTTTATTGAATTTCGTTAGGGCTAATTTTTAAAAATGGATCATCCATAAACCTTCCCTGAGGTGCCACTCAAACTTTGGGCCCGATCGGTTTAGCCGTTTTGACGTTTATTGGATAAAAACTGACAGGCAAACAGACAAGGAAAGTTTATATATACAGATATTGTATCTCTGTTTAGTTAGTATCTGGGTATCCTAATATATATATAGATATTGTTTATTTAGTATCTGGGTATCCTAATATATATAGATATTGTATCTCTGTTTATTTAGTATCTGGGTATTCTAATATATATATATAGATATTGTATCTCTGTTTAGTTAGTATCTGGGTATCCTAATAAATATATAGATATTGTATCTCTGTTTATTTAGTATCTGGGTATCCTAATATATATATAGATATTGTATCTCTGTTTATTTAGTATCTGGGTATCCTAATATATATATAGATATTGTATCTCTGTTTATTTAGTATCTGGGTATCCTAATATATATATAATTATATTGTATTTCTATATATTTAGTATCCGGGTATCCTAATATATATATTATAGATATATTGTATATCTATTTATTTAAAGTATTTGGGTATCCTAATATTTATATAGATATTGTATCTCTGTTTATTTAGTATCTGGGTATCTAATATATATATATATAATCTAGGAGTTTGCTCCGGGTCCTAATATATATATATATATATATAATCTAGGAGTTTGCTCCGGGTCCTAATATATATATATATAATCTAGGAGTTTGCTCCGGGTCCTAATATATATATATATAATAATATCGTATTTCTATATATTTAGTATCTGGGTATCCTAATATATATATAGATATATTGTATATCTATTTATTTAAAGTATTTGGGTATCCTAATATTTATATAGATATATTGTATATCTATTTATTTAGTATCTGGGTATCCTAATGGTGCTCCTGCATCCCAATGTAGCAGTATGGTTCCAGGGCATGGAGTATCATCTCTTGATATTCTAAAATCTCCGTACACCATCAAGGTTAGATAAACTTATTTCATGCATATTTAAATATATAATATCAAGAGGAAGCCAAACTTTACATTGCATTGTGGTTTTATGGGACATTCTCTTAGTTTATCATGTGAAACTTCATACAAAATATTCCTAGGATTGTAATTTTAACCAGCTTTTAATTTAATTTGTGTCATAACGATTTACAATGACACTAATGATATTGAACTTAAGTTTTATAACAAAGGAACTGAGTCTTTGCCACAAACTCAGATTTTCTAATTTCTCTATCTTTGCAACTAAAGGTCGTAGACCATGGTTATTTCAACCTATGAATTCTGTTAGATCAAATAATCTAAGTTTAAAATATCAAAGGTTTACATCATCAGGTTCCAAAGATATAGTGATTACAAAATTGAGTTTGTGGCAAAGACTCAATTCCTTTCAAAAAGAAAAGACATAAAACATAAATCATTGAAAGTTTCTAGAATTATGAATCGGTTTTTGGATTCATTCTAATGGCAGTGCATTTAATATTATGTTCTCACCCCCTTTGTCATAAATACTACTTTTCAACCAATTATTAATAAATCATTTATTTTGAAAGAATTCACTTTTATTTTTTTATTAAGAATCAGGTTGCCTAAGTTTTTATTTTTATATAAATATTTACGTTTTATAATTCAAAATTTTAACTTCAGGTTTAAATTTTTGCTTCCACTTTTTGTTGTTAACTAAATCTAGTTATTGATATTTATTTTCTCAAGAAAACAAGATGTTAAGTATATTTGTTGTAGGTGGGAAAGGCCGATATTTCTAGCTCCGAGAAACTAGAAATAGAAATACTAGCAAGTGAGGAAACAGAGGCTTTTACTGGTAAATATTTCATTTTTTTAAAACCAATATTATCTTTCTTGAATTTTTTTACTGATCTTTCCGAAATCCATTCTCACAAAAAAGACAAACTAATTTCGTCATTTTTTTTATTTTGTTTCATTATAAATTTCAAACAAAAATTCAAATAAATTTTTTAAATATTTTGTTTTTATGTATACAAACTAGAGATGTCAACGTTTTGATTTTTCTAGATTTTAGCTTTCGTTACGATAGTGTTCATCAAAAGTATTAACGTTTGAAACGTTACGTTGCACATTATGAAATTTTATGGTATAGAGTAACGTTACGTAATGAATTTTCTGCATTTGAATACCTTATACAACGTTAAGCTTTAGTAAATTGTCTGTTTGTTTGTATCCAATAAACGTCAAAACGGCTGAACCGATCGGGCCCAATTTTTTTGTGGGACATCCAGGGTTAAACTGTACATAAGGTTGAGAATTTAATGACAACCCAAAACTCTGCATTTCAAAATAGCATTTCAAGATTTACTGAATGATTTGGCAAAAAAAAAAAAAAATTTTATCTGAAGGGAACCATGATGATGAAAAGGATTAAATAAAATCAATACAGTCGTCTCTAAAATTATACAATTATCCAAATTGTTAAAATTTCAAATATTTCCCAGCAAATCATCAGAGATTTTCATTTTACGTAGTTACCTTTTATTAAAAAATGGAGCAAATGTGCTATTTATAAATTTGCCAAATATGGACAGATGAGCATTGTGATATTTTATTCACGTCAGCTTTAGGGGTTTGGGGTATTGGGGTAGTAGTAGTTGTTGTTGTTGTTTTGTCGTTGTCTACTTTATTATGTTTTCTGATCAACCTGTTTTCTTATCAAAATATTTCCTTGAAATTATGATTAATGCAATAAAAATGTTTTGAGTTACGCTTCATGATTCTCATTCTGACACATGGATAGGTTCAAAGCAAGTTTTATGGAGCAAATTGTATCAAATTTATTAAAATCTTAATTTTGATGGTAGATCCGCTCAATTCTGCAATTTTGTAATTTCTGCTATAAAGTGAAGTACGGTGTTTTTTTCTCTCAACTTTTCCTGTACCATAAACAAACTAATCTTTTTTTCTGATTAAAATAATCTTTCATTAAAAGTAAAATAGTAATCTTGATTTTTAATCGAGTGGTGAGCACTGATCGGTAATTGTATTAATTAAAGTTAGAATAAGTAGGGCTCTGAAGTATAATTATCCTATAGAAATCCCAGTTTAATCTAAAACTCGAACCTGCAATTAATCCATGCACAAAGTCAGGAAAAGTGTAGAAAAAGATTTAAACCGGTTTTAGTTTGTCTAATTATAATTGTATTTTTCCTAATAGTCTTGTCTACTGATCATTGAACATTTCTCAAAACAAAGACCAAAACAATTATATATTATTTTATTATCTTCTCAATAATTCATTTTTCTGATATTTTTTTTTTGACAATTGGTTCGCTGATTAGTTCTTAAATAAAGTTTGATAAAGTATGATATGCAATTATTTTTATTGAATATGCTGATTGATAGTTAACTATGAGTTGTTGATTGACTATTTAAATGGATTGTTAAATTTTTTATATAAGCTAGCCTTAAAGGGCGCTTCGCGCCCATCTTCTAAATTAATTGTGAACATGNGAAAATTTCTGTCCAAAAACTTCATAATGCTGTGAACCAAAATAACAAGGTTATAAATTGTTAATTTGTTGATTAAATTATTGATCGTTTTATATTTTTATTTCTTTTTATATTTTATATTTTGCATATAACAAAATTGTTTAGAAAGTACATTTTTTTATATAATTAACAAATAGATTGTAGGAGTTTAAAATGATTGATTGATTTTTTAATAACAAGTTTACATGTCTTCTAGGTCCGAGATGATAATGATAATATTATCGGAACTTTCCCTACTCTGGTAGATGAATATAAACATGTCAAGTGTACTGCAGAAAAGGTCAGTAAAGGTCGACGTTACTGGATAAAAAATCAGGGGTATAAATTTTTCAATAAATTTATACTTTGGGGGAAATTTGAAATATAGGACATTTAAAAGCAAGTTTAAACATTTTTCTTATCTTTTATCCTAAAATTCATTCAGTTTACCCTAGTATTCTTGTATTGACCCATTTTAGCGAATAAACCCTTAAAAAATAAAATATGGGAAGCATAAAAAGATTTTTTTTGAGAGTGAGGAGGAAATTCTAATTTTTGAAGAAAATATGTTTTCCTGACAGGAAGCATGAAACTCGTGATAAGACAATTTACAAATTATATAATTTCTGAGAACCCTCTGTGTTAAATTAGATTTTCCACTCCAGGTCTGATTAGGAGAATCCTAAATGCAAATTTATCAAAATTAAAAGAATTGTTGCAAAATAAATATTTGAAAAATATCAAATTCGCTTGAATTTATTTAAAATTCAATTTTCAAATATCAACATTGTGCACATATTTATACTGGTAAGATGTACATTATTATATTGGCGGATCGTAAAAAATTGCCGAGAATCAATTTAGGTTTAGGCTCAGCTAGGGTAATTCACAAATAATTAGATATAAACGATTGACACTTTTTACATATTTTACGTTTAAATTTTGTCCTCTGCCTCGAAGCCAAGTTTGCATCTACAGGAAACCAATGTAGAAAATAAGAAAAAAATCTGTTATTTAACTGTATATAGGCTTTATTTCTCGTTAGTTGGGGCTTACCCTATAGCTAAAAAATTGCAAGAAGTTAGCAGAATTATGTCTATGTTATGTTTCTTCCATCAACTTTCCAATATTCACCCTGTTAACCTGAATTTTTGAAGGAGAACACAAAATATAAGACTTCAAAACTCAATTGTAGGTTAATAAGGAAAATGCGAATGTAAACAAAGTAGCAAAATTTCCCATGGAGGGGTCGCTAGATCTTTACTTGTACAATGTACATAGCTTCAACTCATGTCATATGCCTTCTTCATTTTTAGAAAATACTTTTTTTACTCTTTTTTTTTAAACTTCCTTTTATTGAAGGGTCTTGCCTGGGATTGTTGATGAATAAATTAATTTCCGGAACAATGACAAAGTTTCTTTTCTTAAGAAACAAAACTTATTCTTTTCTAAATAGTTATTTTAGTCATTATTACCTTAATTAATGACAATATTAAGAGTACACAAAGTTGTCAGTACTTTGAGTACACTAGAGTAACAGAAGAGGAAGTACCTTAAGTACTTTGAGTATAAATGTTTGTTAATAATGCCCAGCTTTGAGTGCTGATGAAAATATGAAAAAATAAATCTGTTAATAATTCTCAAAAGCGCGATCTTGCTGTTTGTACAAAAATCATTGTATCTTTATTTGTGAGCAAAATATCAGCAGCTTGGCTGGTTTTCCAAAGTCTATTTTGTATGTTTTTTTCCAATTTGGCGAGAAATTACTTTAAATTTCCAGCAAATTCTATCTTCCACGAAACAATGACTATTCTATAAGCACTGAGAATTTGTATTGTGTCTATGGCGGATGTTTTATTATAAATTAATGTTGCAATAAATATTGGAACATAATAAAAGCCAGGTCCATTCAATATTTTATTTCATTATGATTACTGTATATTTACTTTGAATCTACACAGTACACGTGACTTATAAATGACTGTTGTCGTATACCTTAAATAAACCTTCTATATCCGGTTCTATGTCTGGTTCACATGCTTTCACCATGAAACCTAAATCTGATCAATAATGTAGAAGATAACGTTTTTAATTCTGATAACTTTTACATTGTTTTTGAAGCAAGAAATAGACAAGTCACTTATGCAGAGAAACCACACATGAAATTGAACAGTTCAGTGGAACAAAAACATGAATATCCAACTCATACTTGACCAGAATAAGCTTCTAAGGGTAACGTTGTGAATTTGACATTTCACTATGTTAGCGGAGGGTCACTTGTAACAGCCCCTTTAAATATATAAAATATTAAATACATTGCATATTGTATACTAGGATGCTGTCACCCACAGAGGAAGTGAGGGTAAAACTTCAGTAAAATTATCCTGGAAACCTCCAGCAGATTTTACAGGAACTGCTTTCCCCTCGGCTTATTTCTTCGTTTTGCCCTGCATATTCCTCCTCCATGCATACTCCCCTTTCCCTTTGGTTTCCATTAAATTGTCATTTAAGAAACCGTAATAAGGATATCTTTGAGACTATGATCCTCCCATGAATTCTCTCTGTTAGATGTTAGATTTGCAGTAAATATCCTACTCCATAACAGTTTACTGAACAAGTTTCTATCCAGGTACAACTTAGATTCTCTTGACTACCAATGTCAACACATGGCTACAATCCTGTAACTATTAATGTTATAGGCCACCTTCACATCCAGATTCAATTCATTCTTCATCTCTCTTCCCATTGCTCTTAGAATACTACCCACTATAGTTGTGTACAGATTTGCCTAACTTTTATCGCTTTATACTTTTATCAGCTTCAAAATGGTGTTTCAATCTATCACAAACTCTATCCTCTCTACCTCTACAGGTCTATACAATCCATAATAACAAGAGTCTTTGTTGAACTGTCTATATTTAGATATAAAAAGGTGCTTGTACTTTTCTCTTACGTAAGGCAGATATCACAATGTTCTTCTAGTCTTCTAATCTTGTCCTGTGCGGATAAAACATAAAAGGTTCTCTGGAATTTGTCTAATGTGCCAGCTACTCCTCTATGTCCGGACATTATTCCTTCATGTCAGATCTGGAACGCTTCTTTTAATCTTGCTGTTGGTAGACAAAAGGGCAGAGCATTGTTGGACCTGTGTGCTTGTTGTAGCATAACATTACATTAATTGCTAACAGTATAGGATTCAAGATCTGTCTCATATTCATCATTTCTGGTACTTTGCCTCTTAATTCCTGCCTGTGTGGGTCTTTACCTTCTACAACCCATTGGATAACTTCCTTTAAGACTTTGTCAGCTTCTTGTAGTTTCTTTAACTCGTTCCCTACTGTTAAAGTTTTCATTAACTTTTCCTCCAAACTACTCCCGGCCTCTTATAACTTTCTCTGAGGCTTAAAGTTCTCTGTTAACTCATCATTAATAGGTCAAACATTCATGAGATTTGAAACGTTTATTAATTCCAGTCCAGTGTTGCTGTTGCTGTCTCGTCTTCATTGATATCTCCTTATATTGTTTCTCTCAGTACCCTGTTAAACCAGATACTCACTTGATTTGTCTTCCTTGGAGCTCTAGGCATTTAATAAGGCTTCCTTGATTCATGCGGCCGCTACCACTTTTGTACTAAATTCCCTACTTCATAACAGTTTCCCCAACAAGTATCTATCTAGGTACAACTCAGATTCTCTTGACTATCAATGTCAACACACAGCTACAATCCCGTAACTATTGATGCCAAATTAATGGGCATGATCCTCAACCTGTTTATCAAAACAGGGAACATGGCTACAATCCCTGAACTATCAACTCCCAAAGTGATTTAATACTGAAGTGGTCCAAACTCATAGTTGGATGACGACATTTTATGTCTCAAGTATTTAAAAATAATATATATTTATGTATTTAAATTGGTCTTTACGGAGTGCACAGTGTACAACAGAAACTGGACTCCCTTTGCCTTTGTTTACAAACACAGACTTAGAATTTGTAAATATAGATTAACGTAAATTAGGATTTTAGAAGGGAATTTTAGCCATTTTACTGCACAATAAATAATTTCAGACAGCACAATAATGCCTGCATGCATAATCTGTAAAACAAGGAATGCAGAATTTGTGAAATCGAAAAATAAAGATCTTCAAAATTTATCTCTTGGTCTTCACTTTTGTATTTTGACAGATTTAAGAATAGTTAAGAACTATAAATAGGCTACCTTTAAAGATATTAAGAGAGGCGTATTCAGGTTTTTTTCCCAGGAAGGGCTTACATTTTTTTTTCTTTTAAGGGGGGGGGTAAAACAAAACTATAAGCAGTTTTAAAGATAAATTCTTTTAGAATTAGAAGTACAAGCCTACCAGGTAAAATCAATGAATTTTCTAAGCGACTATATAGTATTTGCATATAAACACATACAAACATACAAAATTTTTATTATTTTTGATTATGAAAATTTTGAAGTTCTAGCTGAAGACGACATTTACATTGGTCCTTAGTCTATTTTTTATAGTCTTTACTTTCCATTCCAAAATAAATCTTTTCATGCAATTATTTGCGAACCAAATAAAACCTTATGGCCTAACCTGTCGTCGTTGCCTTAGTCTGTTCCACTTTAATATTTATTCACTTTGATCAACTCCACTACCACTGGGTGGGATCTGGTTAGATATCGATATTAATCAGAAGCTTGTAACTATCAATGCCAAATCAATGGGCATGATCCTCAACCTACTGGGTGTGATCTCGTTAGCCATCAATATCAATCGGAAGCTTGTAACCATCAATGCCAAATTAATGGGCACAATCCTCAACCTATTTATCAAAACAGGGAACCACACGACTACAATTCTGTGATCTATCAATGCCACTATGGGCCCAATCTTGTTAGCTATCAATATCATTTGGAAGATTGTAACTATCAATGTCAAATCAATGGGAACGATCCTCAACCTATTTCATCAAAACAGGGAACCACACAGCCACAATCCCGAGATCTATCAAAGCCACTACCACTGGGCGCGATCTCGTTAGCTATCAATATCAATCGGAAGCTTGTAACTACCAATCACAATACATGTTTTACGTAATTACTAATGGGCACATTTAGCTATATGGACAGTTTACAACGTAATTTACTTTGGACCTCTATATTTGCTACTGATTTATTTTGTGGTGGGCGGAAGGAAAGCGCTATAATTCTGGCTCCTAAATTCTTCAGCTACAGTTTGCCTTTGCCATTTCTTGATAGATAAAAAAGTAAATAGAAGAAAATGTATCATGGTTTTATTTTAAATTCTGTTGACAATATTTAAAATTTCACAAATTTGTAATTTAGGTTCTAGCCACTGTTGTTAAAGATTTTGCATCATTCTACGTTAAAGTCCCGTCTGAACCAGTAACTGTTGGACCTCCTAATCCTGATGCAGCTGCTACTGGAGAACCTGAACCGGAGTCAGAACCTGAACCTGAACCCGAATCTGAACCTGAATCTGAACCTGAACCAGAATCAGAGGGAGTTAAATCCAATTCTGAGGCCTTTGTTGGTTGTGCACAGGTTGGGTTATGTTTTAATCTTATATAATAGGGTGTCCGATATTTTTAATGTTTGGGTCACATATATCAAGGGTAAACAAGTTTGATTGAAACTCTTTCAGAAGAAACCTCGTCATTTTGTTCGAAATTGGGAAAAGAAATAGATATTTATTGTTAATATTTCTAATAGCCTGTTCTGAATTTTGAACTTTTTCTATAAGTTTGATATGAAGAACAACTTGTTAACTTGTTAAGGTTCCTTCTATATAACAAGAGTTTTATTATTCCAGCTGTTTTATGCTTCTCTAAACTCATCATTTTGCTCTGGATTGGTTTTATACCACTCATTAGATTTTTTTATCCATTCTAATTATGGCTTTTTGGTGTTTAACAAAATTACGTTTCAAAATATATTACAAACATAACGAAACATGAGAATCAACCAAAGAAAGAATATATTCAGTAAGACCAGACTGAACATTTAACACAATTAATATTAACTACCTCTGTATATTCTAGGACAAGAATTGTTTCGGATCTCCAAGTGGTTGTGAGAACACTAAAACCTGTGATTATATGTTTACCTGGAAACTGGACGGGGATAAGGTAATCCATCAAACTATTTTAAATCTTATATTTTCAGATAAGAACACCAAATTTGAAATATGCTTTTACAGGGACTGAAAGCGTAATTTCAAATGAATAAGTTTCTTTTATCCTTTTTCTCCTGATATTTATTGTATTGCAGTTTCCTTGTATCCTTGTTCTCCTGATATTTATTGTATTAAGTGTATATTGTTTCTTCTTTTTCTCCTGATATTTATTGTATTTTGTGTGCATTGTAGTTTCTTTCAACCTTTTTCTCCTGATTTTATTGTATTAAATGTATTGTAGTTTCTTTTATCCTTGTTCTCCTGATATTTATTGTATTAAATGTATTGTAGTTTCTTTTATTGTTGTTCTCCTGATATTTATTGTATTGAGTGTGTATTGTAGTTTCTTTAATCCTTGTTCTCCTGATATTTATTGTATTGAGTGTATTGTAGTTTCTTTAATCCTTGTTCTCATGATATTTATTGTATTGAGTGTATTGTAGTTTCTTTTACCCTTGTTCTCCTGATATTTATTGTATTGTGTGTATTGTAGTTTCTTTTACCCTTGTTCTCCTGATATTTATTGTATTGAGTGTATTGTAGTTTCTTTTCCTGATATTTATTGTATTGAGTGTATTGAAGTTTCTTTAATTCTTGTTCTCCTGATATTTATTGTATTGAGTGTATTGTAGTTTCTTTTACCCTTGTTCTCCTGATATTTATTGTATTGAGTGAATATTGTAGTTTCTTTTTTCATTGTTCTCCTGATATTTATTGTATTGAGTGTGTATTGTAGTTTTTTATCCTTTTTCTCCTGATATTTATTGTATTTGGTGTATTGTAATTATTTATCCATCTTCTCCTGATATTTATTGTAATGAGTATATATTGCAGTTAATTTTATCCTTGTTCTCCTGATATTTATTGTATTGAGTATGTATTGTAGTTTTTTATCCTTATTCACCTGATATTTATTGTATTTAGTGTATTGTAATTATTTATCCATCTTCTCCTGATATTTTTTGTAATGAGCATATATTGTAGTTAATTTTATCCTTCTTCTCCTGATATTTATTGTATCGAGTGTATGTTGTAGTTTCTTTTATCCTTGTTCTCCTGATATTTATTGTATTGAGTGTATTGTAGTTTATTTATCCTTGATCTCCTGATATTTTTTGTACTGAATGTGTATTGTAGTTTCTTTTATCCTTGTTCTCCTGATATTTATTGTATTGAGTGTGTAATTTGTATTGTAGATTCTTTATCCTTGTTCTTCTGAAATTTATTGTATTGAGTGTATATTTCAGTTTATTTTATCCTTGTTCTCCTGATATTTATTGTATTGAGTGTGTATTGTAGTTTATTTTGTCCTTGTTCTGCTGATATTTATTGTATTGAGTGTGTATTGTAGTTTCTTTTATCCTTGTTCCTCTGATATTTATTGTACTGAGTGCATTGAAGTTTCTTTTATCCCTTTTCTCTTGATATTTATTGTATTGAGTGTATTGTAGTTTCTTTTATCCTTATTCTCCTGATATTTATTGTATTGAGTGTATTGTAGTTTCATTATCCTTGTTCTTCTGATATTTATTGTATTGAGTGTATTGTAGTTTCTTTATCCTTGTTCTACTGATATTTATTGTATTGAGTATATTGTAGTTTCTTTTATCCTTATTCTCCTGATATTTATTGTATTGAGTATATTGTAGTTTCTTTTATCCTCATTCTCCTGATATTTATTGTATTGAGTGTGCATTGAAGTTAAAGAATAAGATAGTATGACAGTCGGACAGTTTGACAACTGATTCTTATTGGATTTTCACCACTTTCATACCAATCCAATACTATTGTTCAATACTGTTTAAACTACTCCAAAATATACAGGATTCAAGGAAGAATCAATTTACCTAGATTTAGGATTGAAAGTAAAGAATAGATAAAGAACACTTACTCTGATTCAAAATACAACTTTTATTGTCATATTCAGACACTAATTATCAGATACTTTAGCTTTTAAACAATTTAAATCTAAACATGGAATAGCATTTACAATACTAGCCTTTAACACATTTCCAATCTATCTTTATATCAATCAATTTTTATATAATTCATTTTTAAATCAATCTTTTTTTTATCATTCTATCTTTGTCTGTCTATCTGTACACATATCTATATTGAAATCTATCTAACATTCTGTCCTTATAAACATTTATCTTCCAGCCCTCCTTTCTAAATTATTTTTTTCTCTAATTTTTTCAAGAAGTTTTCAAAACGAGATTGATACGGCAAAATAAATAATGAAGTAGGTGCGTTTCAGAGTATTTTTAGGGTTAATGTGGACATAGACTATTCCTTCAGAAAAACACATATGCGAGGATATTGGATATACCTGAATATATTTAGATGGTTTGGGAAGGATATCGGAAAGCTTCTGGTTACGTGGCTGTGGGTGTATCCGTGGATTTTGGATATACCTGAATATATTTAGATGGTTTGGGAAGGATATCGGAAAGGATCTGGCTACGTGGCTGTGGGTGTATCCGAGGATATTGAGTATACATGAATATATTTAGATGGTTTGGGAAGGATATCGGAAAGGGTCTGGCTACGTGGCTGTGGGTGTATCCGTGGATTTTGGATATACCTGAATATATTTAGATGGTTTGGGAAGGATATCGGAAAGCGTCTGGTTATGTGGCTGTGGGTGTATCCGTGGATTTTGGATATACCTGAATATATTTAGATGGTTTGGGAAGGATATCGGAAAGGGTCTGGCTACGTGGCTGTGGGTGTATCCGAGGATATTGGATATACCTGAATATATTTAGATGGTTTGGGAAGGATATCGGAAAGGGTCTGGTTACGTGGCTGTGGGTGTATCCGAGGATATTGGATATACCTGAATATATTTAGATGGTTTGGGAAGGATATCGGAAAGGATCTGGCTACGTGGCTGTGGGTGTATCCGAGGATTCAAAGATGGGCAAGGATATAATGTTTATCTGCTCACAGGTATTTACTTTCAAATCTAAACTTTTATTGATCTTTAATTTGTTCTGAAACTAATCCGTATCTCAAATTAAGATGCATAGACAACTAAAGATCTGCTATCGGCTAATAAAAAACTTTAAAGATACAAAATACAAGGAACGGGGACTATTTTTTAATACTTTAATTTATACAGTTTATTTAAAAATTAAGTAAACAACAGTTCCGACCTTAATACAAATTTTTCATAGCATTTTTTCATTTTTGTTTTTGAAAATTTCTTGTTCCTTGCTAAATTGAACCCTAGAAAAACATCAAACCTGACAAATGATGCCGATTTGATAAAAACAAGCCAATATCTAATTTCCTGATGCACTGCTTGATTTTTGTCATTGAGAGAAAGTAAAAGTTAAATGTATCGTGAATGTAGGTTTAATGAAACTTACATGTTTAAATACATAGTTTTAGCTTCTGACATAGAAAACAAATCCACAAACATCGATAGTTTTATATTTAGGATTTGAAGGGTACATACTACATACATATCCTGTATGGCACTCATACAAGCATGGATTTCAATGCATGTTACCTTTTATTCAAAATGACTGTAAAGTGTAAACAAAATGTCAGACCCTTCAATGATAGAGTTGCAGGTCTGATTCGCAACAATACCCTTGAAAGGTTTGTCTGATCAAGCATATCCATGTTTTATTTTAAATCTGAAAGAAATTTATAAAATTAAACACTATTTAGGTCCGAAAAACGATGTTATCTTGCACACATATTGACCAGATTAAAGTTTATCATTCCCCATCTTTACATGGCGGGCCACTTAGATTACGACGACATTCCCTTTAATAAGAATATTGATGATAATATTGTATTTATTCTTTGAAGTCTGGAGTGAAGGAGTATACAAGTGCAGGAAAAAGTGCCCCTACCCCTAGTTCAGAAAACCAGTTGAATACAATAACAACAACAAATATTGGAGGAGATATGTACTGCAAGTTTGAGAGGTAAATTCATAATCTAAAAGATACACTATTCTTCACTAAAATAAGATCTTAAGAATTGTTTATGTTTCCACGCTCAAATATGTAAAGTGGACGCACATTATTTTCTTAGTTTAAATTCTTGGTTGTTTTTGTTTAATTTATTTAATTCACTTTAACTCAATGTCCTGCATATGAGCCGAGCGATTATATGTTAATTTTGTGTACCTTTAGTTATGTTAGCTAGCTACATTACGCACACAAAAACACAAAGTGAGGACGTACATTTAGGACGCATATTCATCGTTACGCTATTTCATCATTGAGGATGGAAAAAATTGTGATTTATGAATATTACTTCTAACATACATACAAACCTGTTCATTCATAATGTTTCATGTTTAGTGGAACATTGCTAAAATCTAAGGGTATAGATTTCTCTGCAGATTTGAAGAATGAGAAATATCATATATTAGTTGCCGTGGGGGATGGAGAACTATCATATCATGCTCAGGTTAGACAAATATTTTTTGTTCAACCCTTTCCCTTACACTCTACGGATATAACCAGTATGANGTCAACTAACTCAATTTAAAGATTGCCTCAAAATTCGAGGCAAATATGTCAACGGGCTCACTAGTTAAGATCAGACAGAGATGACTGCTAAATATATAGATATATTTATCTAGAATAAGATTGGTAGCGGAGAACCCTCAGCTCTAGGTCTAGTTCAAGCACAAGGTTCAAGTTCTAAGGTTCTGCTCAAGGTGCATGGTTTAGCTATGATAGCTGCCTGGGTTGGTTGTGCTGGAACAGGGATGATGATTGCTAGATACTTCAAAAATACTTGGAAGGTGAATATATATTCTTATAAACTCATTTATTTCTGGATCAGATTTTTTTTGCAAATTTTGCAAATTTTTAACCAATCTACGATAGCTAGAATATTTTTTGTGACATAAATAAGATAGTAAAATATCATTTTGAGGTTTTCTAACTTCATTTTTAATTTTCTCGATATTTCGAAGGTCTCGTATTACAATTATATTTTGTTTCTTTCTGCCATACAACACACTCGATCAAATCAATATTTAAATATTTTAATAATTTTTGATTTATGTTTATTGCGTAAATTTCAATTGAGTAGATTCAACGATCAAATCAGAAATTCAACACTTCAAGTTAGTCCTTTCTCATTTGTAAATACATCATGGTGAATCCGATATTTTAACAGGATTCTTACATTTATCTTAAGAAGATTTATCCTCTTTAGAGTTGGGTCCACCGTAATCCGCTTATTAATATTTGATTTCATATCTATGTCAGATGTCAACTTCAACATAAGGATTTATCAAAAACTTTCTATTCAATAGCTGTTCATGAACTACAAATATATTTGAAAACATTAATATTACCAAGATAATCATGTAAACTTGGACTGAAAGGGAGTGTCAGGCTAGTTGAGATTTTGAAAAAAATCTGCGAACAAATTTATAGAATAAGAAATTCAATATTGATGAAAATGAGACAATTAATTCTATCATTGATTAATTGACAAATTTCTATTGAGAAATATTTTTCTAAACATCTAAATAGTTTACTGTAGAATTTTTGATACATTTTTTGTCGTTGTTATCAAATAATGTAAAAACGTCGATTCTCAAAATCTCCAATACAATCTCTCTTGCTGAACAAATAAAACCGTCTCATAAAGGTCTCAAAACATCCTAAATTTTTTCATTATCTCTGTATTCCAACCAGACGACAGACACTCCCTTTAAAGTATGAAAATAATTAACAGTGATATAAAAAAATGTAATTGAACCTTTTACTAATCATCTGCATAGGTTAAGAGCAGATTAGGTTTTACACTTTGGCAATGCCTATTCTTTAAAATTTGCTTCGCCATCATAAAGTTGTGTTTACTAAGTTTTTTAAATGGTTTATCCAATTTCTGTTATGCATCCAAGGGCCTAAGTTTTTAATCTGTTGTATGTCTAGGGAACCAAGGTTATGGGCACAGATGTTTGGTTTACAGCTCACAGATCCTTGATGATGAGCGCTGTCCTGTTTACAGCTATAGGATTAATACTTGTCATGATTCATAATAAAGGATGGAATTATACAGCAGAATCAATCAGGTAAATAGTAACTTAAACCTCTTTAAAGGGACTGTAGGCGGAATTCATGTGACACTATAGAGTGGCATGTCCGATTCACGATGTGCCTGGTTAAGAATAAATGAGTTATCAATCATCTTCTGATTAAAAGTTTATAATTTTCGATGGTGGTTTCTCTAAAAGTAACTTTTAAAGCTATCTATGTCGACATCTCCCCCATTATTGATCAGATAGAGATTGAAAGGGCACCGTTGTGAATTGTGCATTCCTCTCTCTTTAAATGGCAAGCAGCTTCAACATAAAACAACAGTCCCGCTTGAACCGTTTAATCAAATTAAAGCTGTTCTATTTTAATTCAACCAAAGTTTGATTAAACAGAATGCAAGAAAATCATTTTTATATGCTTTTATATGCTTTTATATGCTTTTATATGCTTTATATGCTTTTATATGTTTTTATATGCTTTTATATGCTTTAAATGCTTTTATATGGTTTTATATGGTTTTATATGGTTTTATATGGTTTTATATGCTTTATATGGTTTTATATGCTTTTATATGCTTTATATGCTTTTATGGTTTATAGATTTCTAATGGGAAATATTTGACGTTTATTTTTCCTGGGACAAACAAAGTTTAAAACATCTTTTTTTAAAGATTTTAAATTGAGTTAAAACGAAATTTTGTAAGAATTCTTTTTCAAATTTAACAATAAAATAGACATTTAGTAGAGTTCTATATCTGAACCACATTTCTTAGAATCAAAAGATATAATGTTTAATTAAGTAGTAAATGAAATTTAAATGCATCTTGTCTGACATCAGTTCTAAAATTAATTCAAATTTAATTTATTTTTCTTAAAATTAATTTTCTAGAATATATTATGCATCAAACTTGAATTTGGTTAAAATTCTTCGACATAGAACATTTTGGTGAGAGGGTTTGTAAATGAATAATTTCCAATAAATATTCTTTTTATTTTCTTGTTATTGATAAATTTAAAGAATTTTTAAAATTTTAATTATTTTTATGGAATTAACAGTTCCTAAACAAGTTTAGTAAAAATCAACTAATGTGAGTTTAAAAGAAAAACGTGATGCTTTTAGAAACAACCCTCACCCAGCGCTCGGCCTCGCCACAGTAATCCTGGCCTTCATGCAACCTGTCATGGCAGTGTTTAGGTATTAGGTGCTTTTTTAATTTAACGAATTGAAGTAAAATAAGTGTTGAAACTATTTCATCTAAAATGTTAAATCTTATTTGCATCAGCAAACACAACTCAAAAATCAAAACTGATTCAGTAATTAGCAATTTAAAAAAACTGATAGAATATATATGGAAGAAGGTTAAGTTTACAATTTTTTCAAAACAAATCGATATGAAAAGGTGCGTCTTGAACCAATGATTACCGTCCATTTGTCCATTTTTGATATATCAACAATTGTTTAATTTAAAAAAATATTTGTTTATACTCTGACAAATATATTTCCCGGAAAGTCCTTTTTTATAATTTAATTAGTTTTCATGGGATTTTTACAATTTTAACTTTTCTGAATTCAGTACTTCTAGAAATATATATTGAAGCTATCTTGAATTATTTTGACGATCTTTTCTAGCTTATATACAGGGTGTCCCACATCATATTAGACCGTCAACGGGTCTAAATTGCGATTTTCGGGACTAATAAGAAAATTTAATTATAACGAATCAATTTAAAAAATAACATAAGGCTTATATAAGAATTTTCTTGCGGAAAATTATAAGTTCTTCGAGTATTAAGGGTTTATTTTGTTGTTAAAGATTAGAGATAATCTAATATGATATGGGACGCTCTGTATATTAGTAAGTTGATTTGAACAAAAAAGTATGAACGTTATTATAAAAAAATTCTCATATATTTTTTTAACTACATATTAAAGAAAATTTAGAAATTGGTGCAAGGTGGATTTGAGCATTTTCATTAAAAAATTCCCCTTAGTTTCACCCTTTCATAAAGTTAAAAAAAAATATTGTTCATTTATCGTTATCTTAATTTTCGAAACAAAATAAACCATTTTTTTGGAATGGCCTAAACTAGTTTCGACATTGCTATATGTATTCGAATATTCGAATTTCAAAAACAAAATCTCTCTTAAAAATTCTTAATTACCATTTCAGGCCTCATCCTGGTACAAAATTTCGACCTATCTTTAACTGGGGACACACCATTGTGGGCAATGCCGCCTTTTCAATAGGTTAGCATTCATTACTAATTGTTTGCACAAGATCCAAGAAAACGTTAGCATGTATCAGGACCTTCCTATAATAAAATTATAAAGTTTGTTTTAGGAAAGTTATTTACTCATAGACTTTCATAGGAGACCCTCATATTTTCGCAGGAGACCCCCAGATTCTCGTGGTAGACCCCAATATTCTCGTTGGAGACCCCCAGATTTTTATTGGAAACCAAAGATTTTCACTCCATATTAGGGGTCCCCAACAAAAATCTGGGGTCTCCAATAAAAATATGGGGGGTTTCCAATTAGAATCTGGGTGTCTCCAACGAAAATATGGCGGTCTCCATCGAAAATATGGGTGTCTCCCAACAAAAATATGGAGGTTTCCAACAAAAATATGGAGTCTCCAATGAAATCTGGGGTCTCCAATGAAAATCTGGGGTCTCCAATGAAAATCTGGGGGTCTCCGACAAAAATCTGGGGTCTCCTATGAAAATCCGGGGGTCTCCTATGAAAATCCGGGGGTCTCCAATTAGAATCTGGGGGTCTCCAAGTCTCCAACAAAAATCTGCGGTCTCCAATGAAAATCTGGAGGTTTTCAATGAAAATCTGTGGGTCTCCAATGAAAATCTGGGGTCTCAAACAAGAATCTAGGGGTCTCCAACTAGACGTCCATGGGTTCTCTAATAAAAGGAATTTCCAATAGTACTCCAATTATGAAGATTTCTTCCCAGACTCCAATTAGACAAGTTTTGAATTGATATTCTAAAAAATTCTAATAGTTCTTGAAAGTATTTATATTTCTAGATCATACATCTCGAAATTTGTTTTCATTCTTAAAAAAAGTTTCTTTTGCACAAAGTTTGTAATGGTTTAAAGTTTATAAAATGTCAACATCAATTCAAAACATGTTTTTGCTTTTTTTTGTCTGAAATTTAATCCTGAAACCTTTAAAATTATAAACTTTTAAAATATGTTCTCTTTTTAAACATAGACAATTTTATTCATTTATTTATTTACTGGGACCGCATTACCCAAATAGATTCTAGTACAATAGATGGCAAAATAGAATTTGTACACTCCCAGTACAGCTGTATTCTGACGTCACAAGTGTCAATTAAGTTTTTTTGTCCGTCTTAATTTTTAATAATTTAGTGTTTTACAGTATAATAAGTGCAATTTATGTGTTCTTTAGTTTTTGTTTTACACTTTTTTATTTAATCTTGGAGGTTGGAAAATATGTAAAACATGTGAGAAAATATCGTTTTCCTTGTTATATTTGACACTTGTGATGTTGTGAATAATTGTTCTATTTCTCTGTTGCCACCTATTGTAATCCTGTAACTACCTAATTCAAATCATGAACTAACGATTCTTGGGAATTTGAATTTGTGATTCAGGATTTGAACTGGTGCAGTATTCATTAAATTCTGTCTCTGACTAGTATTAACTTTAATATAGCAAATCTAAAAGCATGAATGTCGAAAATATTTATAAATATTTAGATAACTTGAAAAGAATACAAAACAAGATTGTGAAAAAAGTATTTAAAAAAAGAGTATTTCTAAATTACCTTGTTCCCTCCTATACCTGATATATCAGCTTAAAGAGGATAAATAGTTACCATATAAATTACCTTTCAACAGCTAGACCAGTACACATTTATTCAACAGCTAGACCAGTACACATTTATTCTTCAACTAGACCAGTACACATTTATNTAGACCAGTACACATTTGTTCATCAACCTTAGACTAGTATACACATTTGTTCATCAATCTTAGACTAGTACACATTATTCGATCTTTTTTTTTTTTGGGGGGGGGACATTATTATTTGTACAGTGTAAAGTATATTTAAGGTATTGCTGCCATTTTTCTCTCTGGTGATCTACCCGCTATCAGGATTGAATATAAAGGTTAGATTTAAGTTATGTTTTATGATTCACTATTTTAATCTTCTTAATCTAAGAAGGATGAAATGGTAAAGACGACTCAAAGCTATAAAAATATGACGATTTGAAGCTTGATTTTTGGTTTCTACATTTAGTTGAGTATTTTCATGGCGTTGTAAATGATAAATCACAGAAAAAAGCCTAATCATAATTGTTTTCTAGGATAAGTTGCATGTTTGATTGTTTACATTATTGTTTACTAGGATATGTTGTTTGTTTGTTTGATTGTTAACATTATTGTTTACTAGGATATGTTCCTTGTTTGATTGTTTACATTATTGTTTTCTATAATATGTTGCTTGCTTGATTGTTTACATGATTGTTTACTAGGATATGTTGCTTGTTTGATTGTTTACATTATTGTTTACTATGATATGTTGCTTGTTTGATTGTTTACATTATTGTTTACTAGGATATGTTGCTTGTTTGATTGTTTACATTATTGTTTACACTCTGGTTCAACTCTTCCTGGCGTTCCACAATTTAATGATGGAACGATCTGAGGCTAAGACAGAGGTTCATCCTATGGCAGGTTAGTTATTTTAAAGATATCTTCTATATTTATTTTTTCAAAATTTAAAGGGTTTAGTATGAATGATGATTCATATCTTACTTGATAAATGATAATAAATGAGTACTTCATAATTGTATTTCTTATTGCAGGGGGGGGGGGGGGTGGGGCATTAAACTGTGGTCTAGGATAACGAATGTTAGACTTATGATTTGATCTTGAATATTTCCAATAGTACTCCAATTATGAAGATTTCTTCTCAGCCTCCTAAAGCTGTTCTATTTTAATTCAACCAAAGTTTGATTAAACAGAATGCAAGAAAATCATTTTTATATGCTTTTATATGCTTTTATATGTTTTTATATGCTTTTATATGCTTTAAATGCTTTTATATGGTTTTATATGGTTTTATATGGTTTTATATGGTTTTATATGCTTTTCATTAAACTGTGGTCTAGGATAACGAATGTTAGACTTATGATTTGATCTTGAATAGTTCAATGAACATGAAACACTTAGTTTGATGATTTTCAAGCTACTACAGTGGTAACCTACTAAGGATGAGGCTTCAGAGACGATGTACGGAACTTTTACTTTCGTGTTTCCTTATATTAACCATTTTCTGTAAACTTGTTTCTTTGCCCAATCATTAAATAATCTATCCCATTTCTATATATATATACCTTATGTAGAATACATAATTTAACCTTAGAATTGTCACATTTTAAGAATTTACGGTCGTCTTTTGCAGTCTCATCCTTTTGTTGGTATTTGTTGTTTTTAATTCGATATAGATCACTAAATAAATGAAGAAAAAAGTTAGCTGAACCATTATGAAACATTTCTTTAAATATGTAATGTGAGGCCGAGAAACGTATTCTAGTTCAACAAGGTTTTTAGTTTCACACAAACTGGAAAATCATTTCCTTTTGAAGTCGAGTGAAAATGGAATTTGAAAGGGAAAGACATTTTTTTTTTGGGGGACCTTTTGTCGTTAAAATGATAGGAAAAGAATGTGAGAATAAAATCTAGCAAATCTACATTTTTTAACTTTTTCAGATTTTAAGCGGAACAAAACAATTTTGAATTTTGAATAACGACACAATAAATATGCATTTCTCATAGGTTGGCCTTAAATTAAAGTTATAGGATTCGTGGTAATAAAGTTGTACAAGTAGGTTTGCATGAATTTGACCTTTTCTTTATGTCTCGATGTCAAAAATAATTTGTTAACATTACTTGTTATACGGTGGTATGCTATTTTATCAATTAAATGAAGACAACTTTTGTAAATAAGTTTTTATTGTTAATAATTTTTTTTCGAAATATAAATTTACTAGCAATTAAAGAGATGCTTTTTAAGATGAAATCTTCTCTTTGTTTCCATATTTTTGTGTATCCATGCTGTTTAAAGCTTGATATAAATCAAAATTTTAATCGAAAGTCGTCGTCATTATATTGATTTAATCGCCTACTACCGAATTAAGTTAAACTTGTTTTACAGCACTTTGTAAGGGTTCAACTTTGTAACTGTTGTAAGACAAGAATCCGATAGAACTCGGTTAGAAAATATTGTTTAATTTAATATTTAATATATGTGCAGAGAAGAGGTGGAGGATATACCTGTAGAGAACAAGATAAACCTGGATATTTAATATTTAATATATTTGTAGAAGGGAGGAGAGCTGGAGGATATACCTGTAGAGAACAAGGATAAACCTGGATATTTAATATTTAATATATTTGTAGAGAAGGGAGGAGAGCTGGAGGATATACCTGTAGAGAACAAGGATAAACCTGGATCAAAGATTAGACAAATTGTTCTTCTTCTCTTCATTCTCTTCTCTCTAGCTGTCTCAATTTCACTTATTGTCGCGATATTCAAGTTCGACTAGTCACTCAAAATTTATTTTTATTTGATATTCATGTTTAAAGTACAGATACACATTTTTTAATGTATTTATTTTATTTCTATGACACCATATTCTAAAGAATTATTAAGTAACAGTAGTAATATGTAATACATTATTCAAAAAACACAGTGCATAAATAAAGCTTTTAAACTTTATTTGCGAAAATATTTCTCAGATTTCAAATTAAGTTTAAAGTTTTGATTTAGAGTTGAGAGAGGCATGATTTGATTTTATCTATATACAAAGTTTAATTTTACTTCAATGTTCATGGGTTGATTGATTGAATAGTCCGAAGACGTATTGACAAACTCCCGAAAGACCAATTCTGGGAAAGACAAGCTGCAGAAAATGTTTTCTTACATTCTGACATTTAGACATTTTTGACATTTTGAGGTGACCGAAGCTGCAGCTCCAGACGGTTTTCGCTCTTCAGTTATTTAGAATCAGTGAATAGTAAAAATTTGTTGAACCACGTAAAACTGGTTTAACCAGTTTTCTTGTGAATCGGGTGAAACGAGAAGTGACACAATTAAATCTGCGAGGTTTAACTACCTATATTATTCTTAAAATTGGTCTCTGTTGACTAAATTAAAATCATTATTTAAAAAATATCCCTTTAAAAGTAAGTATAAATCACGTGAACTAAATAGCGATTTTGAGATCGTCTTTGTAAATGATAATTGATCTAGTATAGTGATGCCTAGTTTAACATAACATAAAATTTACTTTGCACACGTAATTTTATTTTTACCAATGACCTTAGGTTATATTATTCTCTGTAAAGATAATTTCTAATCGTCTCCTTGGTTCCATGTTTTTTGGGACACCCTGTACATTGTCCTCTTAGGTTAAAGATTTTTTTTTCGAGATTACGAAATCTTCCCCAAGCGGGAAAAGGAAAAGCTTAAAATTAACATGAAAGAAAATTTTAATAAAGTTTTGAGGAAAAATGGAAGGACATTATAAACACTAAATTACACCCGGAGTTTGAACATTATAAAGAATGTAAAAAGAACTTTGTTATTTCACAACTTTGAGTTAAATATCAGTCTCATTCATTGTTAAACAAGAAAAGAATAATTGAAAAAAACTCGCAGATTGTTAAAATCAATTTAGAGCTAGAAAGGGAGTGTTCGGGAATATTTGTGCATGCATGATGTGGTAAAAATATGTTTGCTTTACAACAACATTAAATACAAGAATGCTTAAACATATAGTCTCCTTATCTAACAGTTTGATGTATTTCCACTCTTATAGTTATTATTATTGCGTTGTTTAATGCAAGGAAACTATCAATTCATTTAACAAGGCTTAAATCTTTGTAAACAAATAAAAAATATTTTTCGCCCATTTAAATGGTTAAATTGCAGAAAAGGAGCGGGGACATATTCTAGAGTCCAACATTAAGTTTTCGACCCAAAGTAGAGGCCGTTTGACACCCCTCATGGACCTATCACAAAGTTTTGTAAGAAATGAGGGAAAAATTAGAGTGAACATATTTTTCACTTCATTTTGGATTTTGATTCAAAAACTAGATGCTATATACAGGGTTACCCACAAAGGATGAGGCTTCAGAGATGATTGTACGGAACTTTAACTGTCTGTTTCCTTATATTCAAGATTCCCTGTAACTGTAAACTTGTTTGTTTTATTGCCTAATGATTAAATAAAGCATTAGATTACCATATCTAAGGTAGAATACATAGTTTAACATTAGGATCGTCACTTTTACGTGTTTTCGGTCGTCTTTACATTCTCATCCTGTGTGAGTAACCCTGTTATAGTTAATTTTAGTTAAAGATTTGAAAATTTGGATTTAGCATGTTCTAAAACGGATTAAAGTGGATATATATATACATTACGAGTGACTAATACATTTTTTACAATGTCCCATTCTAAAATGTTATTGTCATTGAGTCAACGTTTTAATTGAACAACATTGAAGAATAGAATTGTATTTAATGTATATTTCCCCAGAGTAATTATGTGACTTAAAGAGCTTGCAAGAATTTTTATGTAAAACCTGGCCAGAGGCCTCAACTGAAATATTTTTATAGAATTTTCTAAATTTATCTGAATGTTGTTGACAATATTAAGGACACACACAATAGGAAGATTGGAGGGTTCAATGAAAGGATTTTTGATATACTTCATGCCCCCCCCCCCCCTCCTCTATCCTTCCTGCCATTGTAATACTATCCTGCGGTTATATATAGAAGTATTTTGAAAGGAAACCATTTTTGCAATAAAAAAGAACAATCAAAGTTACAAACTGCAAGTAATGTTTGGGAATCCGAAATGATATATATACAAACATAAATGTGAAAACAACACAGCAAAAACAGATGAATCTATAGCTGTGAAAACCAGAAAACTCTGAAATAGAAGACGACTTTTTGAATCTTAAAAAAGTCCAATGAGCATGATACACAGCAATTTTGCAGTGTAATGAACTCATTTCACTTAATTAGAGATTTAATAAGTGTCCATGATGACCAATTGCTATGTAACAACATCAAATACACTTAAATATTGTTGTATTTGCAGTTGTATTGTTTAACCAATCAGATGCAAACATTAATATTTCAAGCCAATACGAATTGAAAGCCTTTGCGTTCAGTCAGTCAATTCTCACTAATTGTGATGTATAGGTCCAATTCAGTGTCTGCCAATGCTCACAAAATAACCATCGGCCAAATTATTTTTAGTCAATTTTGAACACATCGTTAGGACTTCTTCTACACTGTGCCCTCAAAAAAATGTTAATTCAGTGACGACTTCTTTATCATCTTTGTTCAACGTGAAATTTTAACGTAAACACAATTTTTGGGAATACTTTTCATCATTACCTCACTATCGGAAATCGAAGACGATTTTCAAGTAGTTTTTAATTTCCATGTTTATTAGGACACTCTGTATAACATAACAGTGTACAGTACACACCCCAGCCCTACAGTATTTTGTGAAGGGAAACTTAACTCAATATATTTAATTTCCTTGTTAGGTATAAACTGTATGCGCCTATGCACTTCCGCAGTTTTCCCAACAACAGAGAAATAAACACAATTCTTACTATCTAGGTTTATATACTGTAGATGAACCGAAATCTTTAGAATAAGAAGACGATATTAAAGTAATTTTAAACGGCATTGGATGTTGTTACAAAGCAAAAGGCGTCCCAAAATGAGTCATTAAATCACTTATTAACAGAAACGAGTCTGTTTACACCACGCAATAGCTGTGCTTTATGTGCATTGGCCTACTTAAAACCATAACAAGCTAACAGTTCTTCTATTCGTTAACAGAATAAACCATAACAAGCTAACAGTTCTTCTATTCGTTAACAGAATAAACCATAACAAGCTAACAGTTCTTCTATTCGTTAACAGAATAAACCATAACAAGCTAACAGTTCTTCTATTCGTTAACAGAATAAACCATAACAAGCTAACAGTTCTTCTATTCGTTAACAGAATAAACCATAACAAGCTAACAGTTCTTCTATTCGTTAACAGAATAAACCATAACAAGCTAACAGTTCTTCTTTTCGTTAATTTCCTCTTTTTTCAAAAAAATCCATTTGAAACAATGCCGAAATGGCTGCAGCCGTTTTTATGAGCAGTTTTAATAATGTTATTTCCAACTTGAAAGTTGAGCACACCCCGATCTAGACTGAAATGAATGCATCAATTTTCAAGACTTGGCTGCCTTTCTTTTAACCTCACATAAACTCGATTATACTTTTTTGTAGCCCTTGCCATATACAAAAGACTTTTAGCTGAAGCCATAAAGAAGCAATTGGAAAAACTATCATATACATCACTTTGGATCACTGTGAGAACTAATAGTTTAAACAATTTTCGCTTTCATCAATATTTACAAACAATCTATTATGTTAAAATCAAGTTTAGTAAGTGAAAAAATAAATATGTTAAAAGGTCTTTTCAGAGCTTTTTTAAGTGTGAGAGAAATTGATAGCTAAGAGCATTTATAAATACTTGTATTTGTATTTATAAATATTTGTATTTGTATTTATAAATACTTGTATTTGTATTTATAAATATAAACGCTCTTTCTTCCTTGAGCCAAAATATTTTCTATTCAAAAATTCTTCGTTTAATATTTCAAATACTACTTTCACAACAATTTTGTAAATTTTTAAGTAAACTTTGTCGGTTTCTAAACTCCAAATCTCGGAAAGACAGAAATTGTGCAAAAAGCAATTTGTTAAAAGGTTTCTTAAATATTTAATGGGAAAGATGAAAGAATCCTAGTATTGAGTGGAAAGTCTGAATTTCACTTCAATTATCAATTTCTTTGATCTTTTTCCATGATGTCGTACTGTTATCAAAATAAAAGCAAAAAAACAAAAACCCGGCTTTCTCCATGGTTTTTCATACTTCTCCCCTTTACTTCTCCTTCCTTCTCCTTCCTTCTCCTTCCTTCTCCTTCCTTTCTCTTCCCCCATCCCCACTACCCCCTATTGTAATTCTTGTAGTCTAACCGAGCAGATGTTAAATGTATATAATTTCATAGGAAATATGAAGAAGAACCAACGAATGGAGTAAATAGATTATAAAGTAGTTTATGGTTTTATTAAGAACTTCTCAAAAAACCTTGAATATAGAGATTATATTATTTCAAGAATACACCATATTAACTTGAGATAGTTTCGAAGTATTTATATATTACTAAAAAACCTGCTTACATCTTTTCCTACAATACATTTTTCTTTTCTTTCTTTTCCTTTTTCCAACCATCAATGCTGAGGATATTTAGAAAAAAAAACAATTATTTTGCTTCTTGAATGGTTCTAGGGTTAGAAGGGTAAGTATGTAAGTATAATGAAGATGAATGTGTCTAGAAAACTACATAAAGTATACCTTTATGGTACTACACGTTATACAATAATCTAGAAGCTTCTTTCTTTCTTGGGAACCCAACTTTGCCAGGAAAGGAATTGAGTTTTTCCCACTAACTCGAATTTTTTAATCCTTATATCTTGGCAACCGAATGGTGGAAACCCTTGATATTTCAAACTTAGGCTATTTGTTCTAACAGAATTTATAGTTTGAAATATCTAACGTCTGCGAAATAGGGTTGCAAGGATATGGGTATTAGAAAATCAGAGTTTGTGACAAAGACTCAATTCCTT